TGGGCTGGGGTGATTGGGCTGGGGACGATGCTGTGCCCACTGCTCAGCTCATTCCTACTCCTGCGCTCTCCTTGTAGCTGACCACGCGGCGGCTGGTGGATGAGAATGGCATCATCCCCCCTGACACCTTCTACATCTGCCTGACGGTGTGGGCCAGCAACGACCCCCTGGGCTTTGCTGCCTCCCAAGCCAACTTCTACCCACCGCCCCCCGAGTGGATCCATGACAAGTACGACACCACGGGCGAGAACCTGCGAAGTGAGTGAGCGCAGTGGGCTCCCCATGGCCCTTTCCTGCCTCCTGGCATCCCCCCTGCAGAGAGGACCCTGCTCCCTGCACCTTTCCTGCCCTGCAAGCATTCCCCCCTGAAGAGAAACCCCCACATCCCTCATCCCATCAGCATCCTCTGGTAGAGGAACTGTGCTGCTTCCTTGTGCCCCGTGCTTGTCCCCGTCCACCCCGCTGTGCATTCCCTGTACCCTTAGCATGCAGCAACAGATCCCTGCTTCAGTCCATGAGCATCTCACTGCAAAGAAGCCCCTCCACTCTGCCCCACAAACATTGTCCTGTAGAGAAACCCCTTGCTCCCCATGACCCACTAACTCAGATGCATCCTGCTGGCAGAGAAACACCCTTGTCCTTGCTCCCAGTCCGCTCTGCACATGCTCCCCAGCCCTGTGGTACCCAGCCAGGCGTCAGGCTGCATTCAGGCTGCAGCAGTTGGGTGCCCCATGCTGCCTGCACTCCCATGCTGCCCATCCCCTCACACTGCCCGTGCTCTCCTCCCCAGTCCCTGCAGCCCAGCCACTGGAGTTCGCACAGTTCCCCTTCTACCTGAGCGGGCTGCGTCGCACGGCCGACTTTGTGGAGGCGATTGAGAGTGTCCGTGCCATCTGCCGAGAGGCTGCCCAGCGCCACGGGGTGCTGAGCTACCCCAGCGGGTACCCCTTCCTCTTCTGGGAGCAGTACATCGGCCTGCGCCACTGGTTCCTGCTGGCCATCAGCATCCTGCTGGCCTGCACCTTCCTCGTCTGCGCCCTGCTGCTGCTCAACCCCTGGACCGCTGGCATCATCGTGAGTACGCACCCTGATGCGTGGGGACAGGGGTGACCGGCCATGCTGCCCTCCTGATGGCAGGGACAGGGACATCCAGGCCTGCTGCTATCCCGCTGGGTGGCACTGGGGACCTGCTTCATGGGGATGGGGTGGACATGGACACCCTTGTGTGAAAGGGGCACCCATGTGGAGGGATCAGGGACTTCAATGATGAAGAGAACATGTGGCGGGTACAGGGGTCTGGGGACATCAGTGCAGAAGAGGGTGAGGGGAGCACGCATGGACATGGCAGTGAGTGGAGGCCTTACATGGAGGGACCAGGGGCACCCCTTATGAAAGGAATGTGTGTAGTAGGCAGGAGTTTGGGGAAATCCATGCAGAGATGGGTGAGGGACACTGAATAAAGGGAAAGGGGGCAATGGGATGAAGGTGCCCTGTTGGGAGGGGTAGGATTGGGTATGTTGGGAGCAAAAGGGACAGCCAGTCGGAGCCACCTCTTACTGACCCCACCACCCCCTCCCAGGTCTCCATCCTGGCCATGATGGCAGTGGAGCTGTTTGGCATCATGGGCCTTATGGGCATCAAGCTGAGCGCCATCCCCGTGGTCATCCTCATCGCCTCGGTGGGCATTGGTGTGGAGTTCACCGTCCATGTGGCGCTGGTGAGCACAAGCAGACCCCTGCCCAGTTCTCACTCTCTGGCACCCTCACCCCTTGCCCATGCGCTGATGGGGGGCCACATCACGTGTGGCACATGGGAACGAGCCCTGCGTGACATCCCCATCCCATGCAGGGCTTCCTGACGGCTGTGGGGAGCAGGAACGTGCGCTCAGCTGCAGCGCTGGAGCACACCTTCGCCCCTGTGATGGATGGAGCTGTCTCCACCCTCCTGGGTGTCCTTATGTTGGCTGGCTCCGAGTTTGACTTCATCATGAGGTGAGTGCCAGCAGGGATTAAACCAGCCCCTTACTTGCTGCCTGCCAAAAGCTTTGGCAGCGGAGGCTGGTGAGCGTGGCAGCCCCCTGGCTGGTGGTGGGGATGTGGGGCAGCTGGTGCCGATGTGTCTTGCTGGGGGTACCTACCCCATCTTAAATGGAGGCTGGGGAGACATGGGGAGGTTATGGGGTGTGGTATAGGAAGCTGTGTTTGTGGTGGCATGGGGTTCGTGGTAGCTGTGCCCACTTATTCCCTCTGCCTTTGCTCCCTCCCCAGGTACTTCTTTGCAGTGCTCACCATCCTGACACTGCTGGGGCTGCTCAACGGGCTGGTGCTGCTGCCAGTCGTGCTCTCTGTCATCGGGCCACCCCCTGAGGTACAATGCCCCATCCCACCCCTACCTGTCCCTCCCCAACCCTGTACCCACCTCTCTTCATCCCCTACCACCCTTTACCCTGTCCCCCCTTCACCCTATACCCATCCTTGCCTTGTCCCAACCTCACCTTGTTGCCACCTGAGCCCATCCCTCACCCTGTACCATCCTTGCTTTATCCCATCCTTTCCTTGCCCCACATCCAACTTGGCCCATTTCTGCTTGATCCCATTCCTGCCTCACCCCACACTCAACTCCCCCTATCCCTCCCTGACCCATTTGAACCCATCCTTGCTTCACCCTGTATTTCTATCACTCTACACATCCCTTACCCTCTATCCCTGCTACCCCACAGCCCTCCATCCCTGTATATTCCTTGTCCCTCTGACTCCATCCTCTCTCCCCCTAGGCATCCCTGGTGGATAACAGCCCCCGCCTGCCCCCGTCAGAGCCGGTGCCCCCATGCCTGGGCCCTGGGGGTCTCTATGTCCGCCGTGCCCCAGCCTGGCCTGCCACCTTCCCTGACCCCTCAGACACGGAGCACTACACAGAGGCCATGGGGCCGGGGAGCCCACGGGGGCCTTTCATTGTGCCCCCAACCCCAGCACACATCCTGCTGGAGGCCGGCAAGGACCCCAGCTTCCCCCGCATCACTGTAAGTACCTCTGCCCACAATGGCATTACCATCTCCCTGGGAGAGGGTCATGGACAGAGCCAGGGGATGGGGTCTCATGGATCCCCGGTAGTGCTGGTGGGGTTGCCAGAGGGATGCTCAGCATGGCTGGGGGTCCTCATGCTCCATGTCCTCCCATCCAGGTGCTGAAGCCCTATAAGGACAGCCCAGAAATCCAGGGAAAGAAGGAGGCTCCCGGCCCGCAGCCAGCACCCCCGTTGTCCTTCAGGGAGCCGTGCTCTCTTCCACCCCGAGAGCACCCACAGCCCTGCCCGCCGGGTGCCCAGCCAGTGCCCCCCGGAGCCCTGCCTGCCTACAGCACCCATCTGCAGGGCCCTGCCGGCACCTACACCACCGTCACAGCCACCGCTTCGGTGACAGTGGCCCTGCACCCCACGCTGCCCGGCTCCTACCCCAGCTTCATCCCTGAAGGCTTCACCAGCAGCGAGCGGGACTGCCTGGAAGAGCCCAGCGTGCCCAGCACCAGCAGCACCACCATGCCCGACACCTTTGAGATGCAGAGCATGGGATGCCACGGGGTGGGCGCCCGGCGCTAGGTGAGCTGGGGACATGGGCACCCTACTCTAGGTTCATGCATGGGGATGCAGGGTGGGATTGGAGGGACCTGTTTGACCCCCATCATTCTCTCTCCCCACAGGTTGCTCCCCAGGCCCAGGAGGGTGCAGAGCGGGGTCGCCCGCATCGTGCTGCTAATCACCGGTGTGGCGATGCCCCCGGTCTCGGAGGACCGTGCCCCCCCCAGCAAAGGGGGTCAGCAGGGCAGGCTGGCACTTCTATGCAAGCTGTGTGCAGGCCATGCTGTGCCCATGTGTCCCCAACCCGGGGCTGTGCCGATGGTGCCACATCCCCTCACCCAGGGTTTGGGGTTACCCTGCCCCGGGCTGTTTGCCCCCCCCCCCCCCGAAATGGAAGCACTAACCCCCCCCCACTCTGTTTCTGGAGCTGCTGGCAGGGCAGGCTCCATGGCCTGCCAGCTCCCCCCCTGTGGGGTCACTGCCTGCTCCCTGTCACCTCCTCCTGGGACCCCTCACCCAGGCCACAAGCTGGGGTGCCCCAACAGGGTGCTCTGATGCCCTGGGGTGCTGTGGGCAAGGCCTGGGGTGAGCACCCCCCCACCTTTATTTATTGCAAAGGGAAACTATCTATAGAGAGATATATATTTTTAAGCTTATTTTTAAAGGTTTATTTCTCAGCCTATGGCCTCGCCCAGCTGCCCAGCCCAGGCAGAAAGGGGGGACACCCTTTGCCAGTGCAGTGGGAGCCCGGAGCTGGAGCACAGACCTGGTTCATGCCCCCCAGCTCCATGGGGTGCTGGGTGGCCACAGGCAGCTCTCCCCTCCTCTGATTCTCGCTGCTCCGTGCCTCAGTTTCCCCACCAGCGATCACAGGAGGGATGGAGATCGGGGATGTGCCTGATGTGGTTGCTCCCACTGCACAGGCAGGGGTTTTGGGGGGGTGTCCTTGAGGGTGATCCTTGCTGTGCCAAGCCCCTGAGCTGTCCCACAGTCACAGCCCCTTGTGCCACACACAGGGCAGTGCACACTCCCATGGGTGCCCACACTGCCACCGGGCACATCCCACTGGAAAGCGCATTTCTCACCATGTTCCCATGCCATGGGGCTGTCCCCGAATGCCAGTCCTTGTCCCCATCCCCATCCCCATCCCTATCCCGGGCACTGTCCATGCCGTTACCCAGCACTTTAACTCCAGCGGTGTTTGCCGTGCCCATGGCCCTGGTCCCCCCGCCAGCCCCAGACACTGGGGTGGCCCTTGGGACCCTGTCCCCGTGCCAGGCGTGGGCACGGTGGGCAGCCCCCCCCTTCCCCAACACGCCATCTAAGTTATTTATATCAAAGAGAGCAAAGGTTTATTTTTGTAGTTTGTACAGGCGGTAGTGGGGACCGAAGGTTTATTTTTAAAGAGTAAATATATATATTATATATAAATTACCTGCTGTGTCCGGCCCTTTATCCTGGGGGGCATAGCTGGGGGAAGGGAGGATGCTTGAGGCAGATCCAGCTGTGTGTGCACATGCAATGGGGTGCGCAGTGGGGGTACAGGCTGTGTGGAGGGGGATGTGTGTGGCACATGGGGGGCTGGCAGTGTGGTGCGTGTGTCCAGGGCTATAAGGAGCTGGGGATGCTGGCAGGGCTTGGGGAGGGGGTCACTGGTGTTGGTGCTGGGTAGGTGCAGAGATGCCGGGGGTCTCCCCTCACTCTTAAACCCCAGGTTCCCCATCTCGTTCAGTCCCTTCCCCAGCGGTGCGTGGAGGGGATGTTGTAGCCCTGCCGCGGTGCTCGCTGCCCGCTGCAGCTCAGTCCCGCTGCCGCAGGGGGGCAGCACGGCCCCGGGGAAGGGCCCAGCGCAGAGCCCGGCTGGGGGCAGCATGGGGCTGGGGAAAGGGGGGCTCACCCTGTATCCCCATCCCACAAGGGACCCCTTCCTGCAGCCTAGCCCCCTACCCCTGCGTCACTGGGGTGTATGGGGGTCCTCACACCCACCGCATAGCGCAGGCCCAAGCCCCCATTCCCTGCACCACTTCTTGGGGTGAACCAGGAATCCTGCCCTGACCCTGGAGCTGTGGCATGGGACAAAGAGCTTTATGGATGCTCTTGGCCACGGTGGCACCTCTGGCAGTGCCCAGCCCCGCACCCTGCCCCGCTGTACTGGGGGGCACTGCCGCTGCCCAAGCCCCTACTTGGCGTGTGGGTCCAGGTGACGGTGGTGGTCGCGGGGCCGCGTGCCGCGCCGGGGCTGGCAGAGGTGCGAGGGCACCCCACTGCCCTTCTTCAGGGCATGGGACCGCCAGGCTGCCGCGATGCTCTCTGCCTATGGGGATGGGGACGGGGATGGTGGCATCAGCACGGCCACAGCGTGGTCCCCCCTCAAACCCAACCCTACAGCATCCTCCAGCTGCTGAGGTGAGCCAGGACACCATGGGAGGAGGCAGAGGCTCACCGGGATGAGCAGATCCCGCTGGTTTTGTCTCTCCAGCGTTGCCAGCTCACTGGGTGCCAGCAGGGGCAGGCGCAGCTCCTGCACAGGCAGGGCAGCCACCTCAGACACGGGGCGCTCCAGGACAGCCTGCGAGACAGCAGAATGTAAGGGATGGGGTTGGTGATGGCTTGGGCACCTCTGGGTGGATCTGCCTGATGCGGAACACCATCCATGACCACCCCACCGTGCCCATGCATTGCACTCACCGAGCTGACGTGCGCCCACTCCCGCACAGCCTGCACCAGGTCCAGCTCGTCCACGGCCAGGCGGTCACTGCGCAGCACCCGCGCCAGCACCACATCAGAGAGCTCGTGGAAGCCCTGTGTCCGCACCACTGCCTGCCAGCACAGCGCAGTGCTGGGGCGCTGGTACAGGGACCCCACACACATCCCTCTCCCTGAGCCATCAAGCCCATCCTGGTGCATCCCTGCCTCCCACCCCAGCACTTCCTCAACCAGACACCCATCCCCTGGCATCCCAGCACCCTCCATCCAGCCTTTTCCTGGCACCCATCATCTCCCTGAACACCATTTGCTCCTTTTCCTCTCCTGTCCAACCTCCAGTCAACCCATTCTTAGGGTCCCTGCATTCCTGCCTTATAGAATCACAGAATGGCTTGGGTTGGAAAGGACCTTAAGATCATCCAGTTCCAACCCCCTGCCATGGGCAGGGACACCTCACACTAAACTGTGTAATCCGAGGCTCTGTCCAACCTGGCCTTGAACACTGCCAGGGATGGAGCATTCACAACCTCCCTGGGCAACCCATTCCAGTGCCTCACCACCCTTACAGTGAAGAACTTCTTCCTTATATCTAACCTGAACTTCCCCTGTTTAAGTTTTAACCCGTTACCCCTTGTCCTATCGCTACAGTCCCTAATGAAGAGTCCCTCCCCAGCATCCCTATAGGCCCCCTTCAGATACTGGAAGGCTGCTATGAGGTCTCCACGCAGCCTTCTCTTCTCCAGGCTGAACAGCCCCAACTTTCTCAGCCTGTCTTCATACCACAAGTGCTCAAGCCCCTGATCATCCTTGTGGCCACCTCTGGACTTACTCCATGCTGTGTTCCCCAGTGTTCCCCATGCCCCCCAGTGCTCCCCATGCCCTGGGGTACCCCATGTCATGCTCCCCCATGCCTGCAGCCGTACCGCAGTGCAGCCCTCGATGAAGGCCAGGCAGTGCTGCTGGAGGTCTGTCTGCCCATAGGTCACTGCAGCCTGTGGGACAACACAGACACTTGCAATGGGGTCTGGGGCAGGAGGGACCTCCCACCAAAGCCCTGCTGAGACATGAGCCCTCTTAAGGACCAGGGCGAGCTGAGCATCCATGTGTGGGGACGCCACAGTGCGGATGTGGGGGGAAAGGGCACCAAGGTCCCTGCTTTCCTGGCCTGCCCCAGAGCAAAGAGTTTGGTGGCCCCATCACCCGAAAGCCCTGCTGTCAGCAGGAAGCACCTGACTTTCCACTGCTGCTCAGGGACATCACCCAGCCCTGGTGGGCAAGGAGCCCCAGCATTGCTATCAGGAGGTCACACTGCAAGGACATGGGGCCACATGTCTCCAGTGCTCCTTGTGTAGGCACAGGGACAGCTTAGACCCCCCATATATGTCCCATGCCCTGGTATCAGCCTCAGCCTGCCCCACAGATACCATCACCCCTCTGCAGCAGGAATTTGGGGTGCCCTTATATGCCCCCAGCCCTACCCAGCAATGCTGGTCCCAATGGCAGCCCCTGCGTGCAGGGTACACGGGACCAGCACAGGCAGGGTGAGCATCGCCTCCCCCTCCACCATGGCATGGGACTGGGACTGACACAAGCTGGGAAGGAATGGAAGATGTTTTCTTCAGGTTTGTTTTGTTCTGGGGTTTTGGGGTTTTCTGTTTGTTTCCTCCAGGTCAGTTTTGGCTCTGTTTATGCCAGGGTGGTCTGACACCACATCTGGTAGGAGCTTCTGTGCTCTGGGGCCAGCATCTCACCATAAGAGCATCACTTTGTCTTGTGGGTGATGGAACAAATCCCCTTACCCTGGGGAGCAGCTTTGGTCTCACCAAGCAGCATTGCAGGGCCATTGGGACCTGCCTAAAAGGCTATTTTTAGATGCCCTAAATCTCAGCAGGGTTTTGGGGCTGGCCTCAAAACCATGAGAACTCGTGGAAACCCAGTGCATTTCAGTTTCATACAGATGATGGCAAGGCCATGGCACTGGGGAGCTCTGGCCAGCTCTGTTTAGGGCAGCATGAGAACATTCCCTTGCCAGGCCACGGTGGCCCTGGTGTCCCTTGCAGCCCTGGTACGATGTGCCAGGGTAGGAAATCCTGCCCCACCATCCAGCCAAGAGCAGGAAGGTCAGGCCAATGCCTGTCCCAAAACAGAACGGGTTGTTTTCAACCCTCTGTGACCCCACTGGTGTCACACTCACCTGCAGAGCCTCGCAGACCTGCTCCACGCTCAGAGTGTCCTTGATGAATTTGATGCAGAGCTGGAAGGTAAATGGGGAGAGAATAGAAAGAGCAGAGGCCCAGCCCTGCCACCCCTCTCCTCGACTCTCAGCCTCCCCATAGCTCCCAGGACACGGGACAGGAGACATGAGGGGATGGCACCTCCAGCCCCCCAGGCAGTGATGGGCTGTGGGATGAGGACTCACAGCACAGCCTGTGGGCAGCCAGCCTGGGCACTGATTCAGCCATAGGCTGAGACTGATGCCACCAAACCGCAGCCAACCTCATAGCCCCAGGCGGGCCACCTAACCCTGGCCACTGTCCCCATCTGTGTCCTGCCATGGGGGACAGCCCTGGTTCTGGCTGGGTGATGTCAGCTTTGCCCAGCCCTGCTCTCTGCCTGTATTTCAGTTTCCCTTCACCTGACTGTTCTGGGTAAGATATTATAAAGAAACTAACGAATGCAAAGTTATATTTATAATAAGCACCCAAAATAGAAAAAAAAGATGTGCAATCATTCACACATTAAAAAAAGCAACCATCACATTCAAGATCCTGTCCCTTCTAAATAGCATCTGCTGTGTGCATCTTCAGGGAAAATCCCGCTGAGCAGTACATGGCATTGTGACAGCTATCTGTCTGTCTTACCACCAACCCTAAGGGGTCAGAGCCCCTAGGAAACCAAAGGGGATGTGACATGCAGGGAGGAACCTTCAGCTGGAGCAGAAGGGCCCTGAGTCATTGGCAACAGGGACATGAGGTCACCCTGCAGCTGCGGACACAGTCAGGGGTTTCCCTTGGTCAGCCCCTTTCCTTCCCCCCCTCCTCTATGGCTCACTGCAGGATATCCCACCCGGATTCACGTGTCTGGGGCACCGCATCCCCCTTTCCTGCAACACCCCTTATGTCCCTCCAACCAGCTGTTTGACAGCCCTGTGCCACATCTGGGCTGTGCTTGTCCTCATGGGGTGACGGGGCAGGACTCGTCCCACCACACCACTGCAGCACACAGCAGCCCATGGTGGCTCAGCTCCTCGGCAGGGTGGGAACAGAGGGGAAGTCAGGGTGTGAGATGGCAGGTCACGCGATCAGCACAGCCGTAATCCAGGAATCATCCTGATGACGTGGCCCAGCCGCCCGCTCCAACGCCAAACTGCTCCAGCTCCTTCCCCTCATCCGCCTCCCATCCCTCCTGTTTGCTCCCTGCTGCCTTCCCAAAACCTTCTCTCCTGAGCAGCATCCCCCTGGCAGCACCACGGCTGAGCACTCTCCAGGAATGGGGCTTTCCCTACAGCATCATCCAGCCAGATGACCACGGGACACCCGTGGGTGATAGCATCGGGGCTTTCCTGCAAGATATGAGACTCCATGAGCTTCCCAGGGATTCCCTGGCCCCTGCAGGACTCCTGGTTGGTGCAGCATCCCCTGAAGGGGGATCCCACTGAAGAGACACTCTGGAACTGAGAAGCAGGGGCTGAGCCTGCATTGGACCACGGTGATCCATCCTCAGAACCACCTCCAGCCACGCAGGGACCATCTTGCAGTGCTCCTTAGCATGGGGGCACTTGGGGACCACCACCCCAGAGTAAGCAGTGCTGTACCTTGCATAGGTCCTGCAGACCATATTCCACTGATGAAGTCAGTACCTCCAGTGCCTGCAGGCAAGAGAGACCTTGTGAACATCGGGTGCAGGAACAGGCATGGCAGCCCAGTGGACAAGAGCATGCGTCCTCCTGCCCCTGCGGGAGTTCCCAGGCGGGGTATGGGACAGGAAGGGCTGCTCCATAGGGGCATATGAATGTGGCCTGCTTTATTGTCTCCATTCCCATCATCCAGGATGCGCACAGCCCCCCAAGGCTGGGGCAGACACATGTGGGACAAGATGCTCTGGACACTCCTCTGTGCTAGGCTGAGCCCCACACACTCATTGCACTGTTAACCAGCCACAGTCATACAGAGCATCCTCTCTACATTCAAAGCACCCCCCACCTCTGCATCCCTCCTTCTCCCTCCCATGCCCATGGTCCCTGCCAGCCCCATCCCCACTCACGATGTGGCTGTTGAGGGTGACGCTGTTGGTGTAGAGGAACTCGATGACGGCCAGGAAGACCTCGGGCTGCACGTTGCCCAGGATGAAGGGTCCCTGGGGTGAGATACTGCTGGGGGAGTCCTCGCTGCCTGGCGGCCCCTGGCTGAGCATCCCCCGGAAAGCCTGGCAGCGGCATGCCAGCACACAGCGGTGTGCAAACACCTTCTGCTGCTCCCGGCCCACCACGAATGTCACATCACTGCACGGAGAGGGGACCATCAGTGATGGGGTGCCTGGGGTGCCTGGGAGCTGGGACAGGGCACATGGGCAGGGACTGTCTGGGTGGGCTTTTCCTAGCAGAGGCACAAGAGGGCCCTTGCCTGTGGCTCCTTATGGCCATCTGAAATGTGGGGTGAGCAAGACAGGTCCTCTGGAAAGCACAGCCAGCGACAGGTATGGGGCACAGCGAGACGTGAGTGCTGGCACAGAGCAGGGCGGAGAAAGGCCAGGGGCAGCTGGAGAAAGTGGCTTTCTCTTTTGGCACGGCAGAGCAGGAGAAAGCACGGCTGTCACTGGGCTCAGCCTCCTTGACTCATAGGAACTGAGTCATGGTCTCATGGATGTGCAGCCTCTGGCATTGCTGCCAGCAGGGCTGGCACTGGCCTGTGGTGCACTCTGAGGCACAAGGTCCGCCCTGCTGCCCTTGTCCCACATAGCCTCCCAGCACTGTTCACCTTCCCAGGAATGGGAGGCAAGATGAGAGGAAAAGGGGCTCTCTAGCCTATGTGCACCACGCAGCCATGGCCAATTCATCCTCTCCTCCTCTCTTCCTCCATCCCAGCAGGGCAACAGAAGACATGCCACCCAAACTCTAGCTGCCACTTGGCCATGCACAAACCCATGGCCCAAACCTCATGGTGTCCCACATGGAGATGGATGTGTCCACCAGAGGGAAAGGCACCTGAGTCATCCCACATGTCTATTGGGATGGGCATACTGGGCAGTATGAGCCGAGCTCTCTGTGATTGCTACTGTAAGGGGGACTGAAATTAACTGTTCCATGGCTGCGAACCACAAAACAAGCAGGGGAAGCAGTCTGTGAGATGTGGGATGCAGGCTGCAGCTACGGGATGCAAGGTGTGGGATGCAGGATGGAGGTTCAGGCAGCAGGATGGGCAGAGGATGAAGGCTGCAAAATGCAGAAAGAATGAAGGCTGTGGGATGCAGGCTACAGGAGGAAGGATGTAGGATAAAGGTGACAGATGCAGAGCACAGATTTCAAGTTGCAGGATGTAAAATGAAGGCTGCAGGGTGAAAAGTGTGGGATGCAAGCAGTGGGCTGGGGAAGACCAGGCACTGGCAGCCGCTTCCCCACTGCCTGGTGCTGTGGCTGGGGAGTTTTCACTGGAATTTCTCTTCTGGGTGGCCAAAACTTTCAGCAGGGGCAGGGGTTTCCTCAGATTGCACTGACATTTGTGCCAGGCCTCAGCACAGGACCACAGGGCCAGCCCACTGCCAGGCAGGACATGCCGTGTAGGTGCCAGGTAGCAGAGGCAGCAGCTCTCCATCTCCACTCACTGCTGCGGGAGGAGGTAGCAGGGATGCCAAGCACTGCCACCTGCCTTCAGTGCTGCCGGAAGGCTGGAGATATCAAAGGAAAGCACTGAAGAGCCAACCATGGATAGCTGGCTGCCCCTGGGGAGCAGGGTGACTGCAGCACCCTACTGCTGGCAAGGCCAGAAGCCTCAGCACGGGATTTTGCCTGTAACATTGCTTTGCCATGCTGGCATCACCCCCTGGGACAGAGGATCTGGGCACACTTGGGATCCTTCCCTGCTCCGGAGAGGTGGTGGCTGCCTCAGTGCGGAATGTACCCAGCAGCCCCGGGCTCCTGCAAAAGCCGAGCAGAAGGGAGGTCCATGCAGAAGGGAGGTCCTAACCACCACCACCACCACCACCCCCCCACCCCAAGCAAGGCTCAGATCCATGGGGAAGCAGCACGGAGCAAGCGCCGAGGGCTTCGGCACGGCTGGGGCGGGGGGTGAGCCCCGCAAGCCCTCACCTGAACTGGGGGTTGTTGACCAGGGTGCGGAGGGCAGCGGTGAAGGCGGCCGCTTCGCCCTGCAGCGACCGCGCGGAGCAGGGAGCAGCCATGGGCTGCCTTGGGGAGGAGGGCGGAGGAAGGGAGGAAGGAGGGAGGCAGGCGGGGGGCTGGCCGGCCCGGGGAGCCCGCAGGGAGGAGGCAGCTATGCGCCATGGCCCCTTGCTAGGGAAACCTGGCACGGAGCGGAAGGGCTGCTGGGGAGGCAGCGGCAGGGACAAAGGGGTGGCGAGTGGTGAAGCCCGTTCCTTGCTGCCAAGGCAGCACCATCCGGGTGTCTGCCGGGCGGGATTTGGATGGCTCGGTCCGCGTGGCGATACCCTAACCCTGATGTGGCTCACAGCAGCGAACCAGCACCGGGGCGGGTCGTCCCGTCCCCCCCCAGCCAGTGGCTTTGCTGCAGAGAAGCCCCTGGATGGGGCGGATGGGGGTGAAGGGACACAGGCAGATGGGATTTTTGGGAAGGGCAAAACATGTGCATGATCAATGCACAAAGATCACCACCACCTTTATATGCACAGCCCCCATGGAAAGCTGCTGGGCATGGCTGAGTGCCCTGCACTGGGAGATCGAGCCCCTAAACAGCAAAAGTAATCTTTCCTGCTGATGCTTCAGGTCAAAGCCCTGCGACTCCCCTGTCTGCTTAGGACACGAGAGCACAGGCAAAAAAAAAGCATAACCAGCCTCACTCAGGCACTGCACCAGAGGATGCCCAGTCCCCTGTCTCCCAAGCCTGGCTGGACCCAAGGAACACGATGGGGGTGCCTGCAGAGGGACCCGTCTTTGCCTATCAGTGGTAGTGGAATGCAGAAGGAAGCACAGGGCCCACAGCAGCAGCCCGAGGGAGCAGGGTCCAGCTGCCAGCGCTTGGCAGCGCTAGTCAGCGGCAGGCTATAAATACCTCTGATGGGAGATAGAAACACAAAAGCCATCTCGTCTTTCCTCAAACAGCTTGGCAGCCGAGCCAAACAAAGGCACATTGATGGGGTGGCGGTGGTGTACCAGCTGGGCTGGGCTCCGACAGTGGAGAGAAACCCCCTCAGGGCTGGGAATCCCCAGCAAACCTGCCCTCGGGCCAGGGCTCTGCTCAGTGGGTGCCCATCTGCCCATAGTCTCCCTTGATACAGGGAGAAAAGGACCTAAACGGTGCAAAGATCAAGCTGTTGGAGGTGCAGCCCATAGCTGGGGTGCAAAGCATCAATCACAGTGGCTATTCTCCACCCCTCCTTGCTCTTCCTTCACACATTTAACACAGGGAAACAGTTTTTGGGGGCTGGCAGGGAGCAGCCAACGTCGGAATGCCCGGAGTGACTGCAGCTGTCCAGAGACCAGGAAACAAGGAGTTACAGGAGCCGTGCCCCAGAGCAGCCCTGGAGAGCTGCAGTATCACATAGCAACACACTGTAGGAGCACAACAGGTTTGTCCCTGCCAAGGTTGGTCCTGGGCAGCCAGGAGCACAACACTGGCTGGAAACAAGTCCCCTGGGTTTACCCCTGCAGGGCAGGAGCAGGGCTAGCGGTAAGCGTGGGACAGGGAGGCTGGAGCAGAAGGAGCTGCTCCCCTGTGCCAGGGGACAGGCTGGAGATGGGAGAGCTGAGGGCTGGGTGGACCTGGGATGCAGTGGGTCAGTGGTGGCTGCTGGGGAGGGTGGTGCTAGAGAAGGCAAGGCAGCTACCGTGGTCCCCCCAGCCCCTTACCATGGGATTGCAGGGGTCAGAGATAGGCAAAGCAGAGATGGGGTGAACAACCTGTGGGACAACCTACCTCCTCCTGACACCCCCCTTTCCAGGCCACCCAGATGGCTGAGCAGCCCTTCGCAGAGGTGTCCGTGCCAGCACAGGCGATAGCTGCAGACAACACCGAAGCCCACCCGCTCCGAACCACCCGCCGTGGGTCCCAGCCCCATGCACGGGGCACAGAGGAAGGCAAACCGCCGCTCCTGCTCTCCCGCCGCAGCTCCATCCTCAGCACCCTGCCAGCAGCCCTGGCCAGCCGCCGCAGCTCGCTGGGGGCAGCCCCGGGGGGCAGGCGCCCCTCCATCGGCCCCTGGATGCTCCACAGCCGCGTGAGCTTTTCTGGGTTGCCCCTGTTCCAGCCCATCCTCAAGACCCGCCTGGAGAACACTTACAGGATAGGACCAGATGAAGGCTGCAAGTTCAATGCAGGGCGGGTGCAGCGAGTGCTGGAGGGAGCCTTGACAGGTGCCCTTGAGACCATGGTCTACACACCACAGAGCAGTGCGCTGCTAGCCCAGAACCTGGTTGAGATGCTGCAGAGCAGAGCAAAGGACGTGGTGCCACCCCGGTACAAGCTGGTCTGCCACGTGCTGTTGGGGCAGCAGGCACAGCAGAGCCTGCTGGTGGCCAGCCAGGCACTGTGGGACCCCGAGAGTGACAGCTTTGCCTCCACCACCTTCTCCAGTGCATCCCTCTTTGCTGTGGCCACAGTGCATGGGGTCTACTTTGAGTAGGACCTGCCTCTCCCTCCACTCAGTGCTGTAGTGCTGCTGAAATAAAGAGGCTTGCACCAGCTCTGGCTCATACCTGCAGTCTTTCCTCATGATGCACGCAAGGATCAAGGGGTGGGTGCACCTCAGTGCCCTGATGCTCACTAGTCCCCAGCCTGGGCTCACAGCCACACCATAGCTTTCACTAGCCCAGTTTACAAGACCCAAGCTACAGCAAAGGCAACCCAAAGGGCTGCATTACCCTGGGAGCGGAGTCTGCCCAAGGCAATGCTATAGGGAACAGCCCAGGCTGCTTCCCACAGCACAAGCCGCTCCCAGGCGGATCAATTACACAGTGATGGGGAAGGAGGTGACAAATTACCTTCGAAACAAGTTCATGGAGCACATTAAATTCCTCCTTTTTCCTGGCTCCAGTCCCAGCTCATATCCCATCACATGAGCTCTCACAGGGCAGGGACCCTGGCAACCCACCAACCCCTGGGCCTCAGCCCCTGCCTCCTGCATCTCAGCAACACCTTGAGAGCGGGTGGGTTTGGTCCAAGTGCAGTGGCAGTTGAGAATGAGACTTTGGCAGCAGCAAGGAGACACCGAGGCAGCTCCAGAGCTCCACAGGCACCAGCAACAGCTAATTCTGCCCCTCCCACCATCCACAGCAACAGTGGAGGTACCAGACAGGCTCCTCCCCTCCATCCTGCATCCCTGACCTTGTCCCCCAGCAGCAGCAATAGGGGTCCTGCCTGGCAGGTAGTAACAGCCTTAGAACAAGGATGAAGATTAAGCCCTTTGGTGCCCAAGCTCCAAGCAAGTCAAACACAGTTTGCCCTTACACAAATAGATTTTTATTTAGGTGAGTCAAAGACAGGGGAGCTGCACAGGGACAGTCCAACAGGAAAATAAATAATTCCATATAAATAAGATACATAAATAGTCCCACATGGCAGAGACTGCCTCGAAACAAGAAACTTCCCTGGGTCTCAGCAAGATGAGGGCTCCTCCAGGCAAGCCCCTGAATTCCATATCCCCCCCCCCCCCCCTTATCAAAACATCAGGTTGCACCAGACAATTCACAATTTAGGAGCAGACGGCGCTCGTTGGGCCCACTTTCCTTAGTGTAGCAGTTGTGGAGTGGCACACACCAGCCCACAGAGCCCCTGGCAGGGCAGGCAGCAACCTTCACCCCTGTCCACCCCTGGGAAGGGGTTTTTCCTACCCCACAGCAGCCAAAAGCCTCGAGGCCAAAGCTGGCCGTGGGGCACTCGCCTACCACCTCCCTCCCTGTGCCACCCCAGTCCACCCCACCGAGACCAGCACAACAAGAGCAGGAGCTACCAGTGAGAACACAGCGATTGCCCAGAGCCAGAGAGCAGCAAGGATGTCCAGACCTGCTGCTGTAACCACATCCACGAGTCTTTAGTCCAGAGTCCATCTGAGCACCGGGATACAGGGTGCCCAGGCAGGCAGCCAGCACCACAACATCCCTCCCATCCCATGGGAGGGGAGGGGGAGACCTTTATGTCCAGCAAGGGTTCCCCCAAGGTCCCACACTAGGCTTCAGCACGTTCTTGGAGGAGCTTGAGGATGTATCTGAGGCGGTGGTGGAGCTCAGGAGAGCAGCCCAGCTCCTGGATGCTGCACAGCTTGTAGGTGTAGGAATTTCGCTCCCGGTTGATGTAGGTGACAAGGCAGGAGTGGTCAGGCTTGCTAATGATCACCTTGGTGTGGTCATTGTAGAAGTTCACCTAGGAGACAGGTTGGACTTGGTTTAACCCATGCTTCCCGCGGCATGTCGGGAGCCAGGATGGAGCCACGCTTCCTGCCTCAACCCGTTCCTCCTCCCCAACCTGCCCAAGAGCATCCCTGCTCCATGCCCTATGGCAGGAATGCACCAGCCCCAACATCAGGGCAGACACAAGTGGCCGACTGAAGCATCATGTCCCTCACAGGCTGCACAAGCTGTGACCAGCAGCTTTGGGCACTGGAGCAGCATGCTGCACCCACAGCTGGACTGTGCCTGTGGGCTGTGGCAGACAAGATCTAACAGATGCCACAAGTCCCCTCCTCCCCATGGGGGTCTGGGCACCTCCACTGTGCCCCACACATACCTGCAGGGTGCCATTGCTGAAGAGCATGAGCAAGGCTTGGTCAGTCTTCACCCACTGCAGGAGGAGCAGGGCCGGCTGCCCAAGGTCATCTATGCTGGGCAAGTCACCTCCCTTAGAGAGAAGAGTCTTCATTAAGCCACTGGTCCCATACATGGGAATGCTGTCACCAGCATACACACAGCCTTCAACACACAACTCTCACCCACCTTCATGAGATGCTGCTCCATGTAGGACGCAAAATAGCGCAAGACACTCATCTGCCCCTGCAGCTGCTCAGGGATAGCGGCCACAGAGAACACAAGGTGTTTGCTGCTGGTTGGGTTGTAATGCACAGTCCTGGGAAGGAGCAGACCATGATGAGCTCTGGGGCCACCCAGCACCAAACCCACCCTGGCACTGCCTCCCCTTGCCCCTTCCTACAGCAGGGGCTTCCCCAGAGACACCATCCCCTTCCCCACCACTTACCTGTGGTTGGGGGAAAGAGTCATGTGCGTGCCATTGTTGAAGAGGACCCCAATGCTACGGTTGGAGAGCTGGTAGCCAAAGCCATACTTGTTGGAGTAATCCACCCACTTGCTCACCCAGACAAAGTGCTCGTGGCGGGCCAGGGAAGCCGGATTTTTCCCCGCTGGTGGAAAAGCGAAGGGATGAGCAGAGCAGGAAGACAACCCCTGCCCACCTCTAACAGTACCCGAATAGCAGCCATGCCTTCATCCCATGGGGAAGGGGATGCACAGCTCCCTGCCCCATCCCAGAGTGGACCAACCGGTTTACCTGGGGGCATGGAGGAGAGGCAGGTCCGCAGGAGCCGGACAGCCGACTCAATGATGGCAGAGGTAGTGATGCAGTCTTCAAAGGCTGCGGGCAGAAGATGACAGGCTGAGTCAGCCAGCCCCACTATCAGCCAGGGCAGCACAGGAAGCCTGGGGCAGGCTGGGGTGGCCCAGGCAGGTATTGCTCACCCTCACAGCTGCTGGCCATCGTCCCTCGGATGGAAGGGGATGCAGACTTGTGAGATGTCTCCTCCACCACTGTCTCCACGGGGCTAGAGCTGGCACTGCGGCATGATACAGGGGCGGCCTGTGGAGAGACTTGGCTTTATCACTGTTCCACTTGCTCCCCCCCACCCAAAAGGAGGGTGTGCATGGGCTCAGGGGTGTTCTCACCTCATTCCCTTCCACAGTTTTATAGCTCATCTGCCGGCAGATTGAGGTCTTCATCAGCCCAGTGACCAGCTTGGAGATGTCATCCTTGTCTTCCAAAGAGCCCTTCTTGGCTGAGGAGAAAGGAAGTGATGAGCACAGGGGATGGGGACATCACAGCCACCCCTCCCATTTGCTCAGCTCTCCCTCATCTGCCCATGGTGGTGAGCACAGCATCAGGCAGCTGCCTCCCACTTTCACTTCCTAGTTCTCATGCAACAGAGGGCTTCCAGGAGGAACTGCTCCCATGGGTTTCAGCACCGCATCCGCTCTCGAAGCGCACACCCATGCCAGGCCACCGGTGCCAGAAAGGCAGGAGGGCAAGCACAGCTTATGATGGCCTCAGGCAGGGGGTCCACAGAGACCCATCAGGAGGTCTCTCCAGGAGGCAGAACCCACTTCTCCCTGGAGGAAAGGTCACCTGGGCTAGCACCAGGACTCACCTTTGGGTTTCTTCTTCCCAAAGAGGGTCTTGGTGACTTTAGCAAAGAGACTCTTTGCTGGGTTGGGGGGATTCAGCTCTGGAGCCATCACACAGCTGCTGGGAGGGAGTTTCTCAGGCGTGTAGCCCTGCAGGGAGGTCAAGGCAGAGGTTTGGTTTCCATAGCCCACGTGCTTCAGGCAGAGCAGCTGCCCTGGGCTGACCACAGTCACTCACAACCCTCCTGACAGCCAGCTTGCATTTCCTCCAAGCCTTGGCCCTAGGAATGGCATCAGTGCAGGAAACAACCCATGCTATAGGGACAAGGCAGCGGGAGCACACCAGATCCCTCAGTTCCCCTCGCTGGCATTTGGGTAGGACATCAGCTACTTCCTTTGAAGGACTGAGACTTGGGCTCCAAGGACAGCACAACACAGCCCGAAAAGCCTCACTCCACTTGGAGAAGGGTCAGGACCAAACCCCAACACACTCACCTTGAAGAACTCATGGTCCAAGATCTCCTCAAGGGTGAAGCGGTCCTTAGGGTTGCGTCTGAGGATGCCGGCGATGAGGTGCTTGGCGGGCAGGGAGAGGAAGACAGGGAGGGTGTACTCTACTTGCTTGATACACCTGTACGTCTCCTTGAGATCAGAGGTCTCAAAGGGAGGGTTCCCACACAGCAGGGTGTACCTGGGAGGGGATACACGTGCCACTGTCACATCCCCACCAGGCTTGTGACTCAGCAGCACTTAAAGCAAGGAAGTCATTGGCATTTGGCCGCCACACCTGGCTGGGAGCACCACTTCCACCCTGGGCTGCCCTGCTGACATCCGGCCATGCTTCCTCCTAGCAACTGTTTAGAGCAACAGGCAAGGAGCACTGGGGAGGGAGAGGGGGCTGGCAGGCAAAGGCCACCTTCTGCCACCATCGCTCCCAGCCCTGCATGGCCGATGGGGTGGAAAGCGGAGCAGGAAGCCTGCAGGCAGCAGCCAGGCAAAGGGCTGGATGCACTTAAGCAATTGCTCCCCAAACAAACAGAGCAGCAGCTGCCACCAGACACTAAGGTTTTCCATTGTTTACCAGGTTCACAGGGCAGTGCTTTGAACCGGAGCTGAGCACAGCACAAGAGCACCTGCCCTTTGCTACCCTGCATGCACAGCCCCTGACAGGCATCCCGGCATGACTGGCAGCACCCACACCAGAGCAGAGCTGGGCAGGATCCAGCCACTCTCTACCCTCCCCTTGCCTTTTGTTGGGCAACCACTGCAAAGCCACAAGGCAGAGCACAAGGGGACTTCCTCATTGGGGCTGCTCCACAGCCCAGCTCTCCCCTGCTTGGACCCTTCCCAACCCAGCAGCACAGACTTACATGACACAGCCCAGAGACCATACATCCGACTCTGGCCCATGGCCCTGCCTCAGCAGCACTTCTGGGGCCAGGTAGTTGGGGGTCCCACATATTGTCCTATGGGGCAAAACGCCAGGTCAGTGCATCCCCTCGCAGACACCCTTCTCTGCTCTAAGCCCTGGGATTTAGCTTGCAGACCATCCCCCCATTTCACTTTGCTTTGTGGCCCAAAGCTCCCTCCACCGACAAGCAGCCCCATACAGACTCCCCCCTCTCCAGCTCCCAGGAGCAGCTGGTCCTGGGGAGCCGTTGGGAAGAGCTTGTCCTAGAGCCGGGGAGGAACAGAGCCTTTGTGTCCCGGCCCTGCGCAGCCGGCAGGGCAGCCGGGCAGGCACAATAGCCATAGTCAGCACATTGTTCTCCCCGATGCCTGCAAGCTCCCTCCTGGAGGAGCCACAAAGCCCCCAGGCCCCTCGCCTTGCCTGCAGTTGGGGCAGGAATCACTCCCCCACACCAGGAAGGGACCCTAAGGCTTCCCCTCCCCAGGCCAGGGACGACCACTCATCCCTCTACCCTCCCAGGAAGCCATAGGAGGAAGGGGAAAAAACCTCAGAGAGCTCCGGAATAGGGAAGCCTTAAACCTACTTTTTCTTCTGGTCAGAGGTATCCTGGCAAGCAGCTAGCCCAAAGTCCCCCACCTTCAGCTCCATGTTCTCATTGATGAAGAAGTTACCTGCAATTCAAGGGTGATGTGTCACCACAAGTCTCTCTGGGGCACCTCGCTCCCCACGTGGCACCCTGTCCCAACCACAGCACTCACCAAGCTTGAGGTCTCTGTGCAGGATGCCCTTGAGGTGAAGATATTTTAAGCCTGAGATGATCTGTTTGAGGTAATAGCGCACTTCAGGCTCCAGCAGTGTGTGGCGGGCCTTCCAGATGTGGGCCAGGGACTGCAGAGGGAGAGAAGGCAGCTTGGTGATGGGAGGCAGGGAGAACAGGCAGCCCTGCTGACTAGGCATGGGGCAGGCAGGGTCAAATCCAGTTCTTCCAGAAGTTGCACATCCACAAATAATCCTTCTTCCACAGCCATGACCTCAGCAAACTCCACACGAAGCTGAGGTTGCTCAGCAGAGCCAGGAGAACCACTGGATTTATGGGGGCCCCACCAGGAGCTATGGGCTGCCAGTATGGACAGGCAGCCAACAGCGTCCCTGATGCCACGCAAAACCACACAGCTTATGGCTGAGCTCAGAGGGTGTGACAGAGGAGGCAGCCCAGGAGAAGGGGAATGCTAGCAAAGCACCTCAGATAAGGGCTGCTCCAACCAGCTATGGCTCTGTTTAGGAGATCCTTTGACAAGGCCACACCAGTGCTCACCTTCCTACTGCAGTGCTCCAGGAATATGTAGATGCTCTCTGAGTCCTCAAAGTAGTGGGAGAACTTGACAATGTGCTTGTGGTGCAAGTCCCGGTGCAGCTCGATCTCGTTGGTGATCTGAAAGGGAGCAGCAGTACCAGGTAAGTACAGGGCCCACTCTGTGTCCCACCAGCCCACCACTTCACCAGCCCCACAGCACCCACCTTCTCCCGCTGATGGGGTTTAGCCACCCGGCTGTGAGGAATGACCTTCACGGCATAGGTTTTGTTGCTAGAGAGATCTGTCATTTCATAGCATCGTGCAAAGCCACCCTGCAAGGGAAGAGGTGGTTATGGATGGGTGAGAGACAGCTCTTCGCCCCTGCCTGCTCACAAGCTGCCTCCTCCTCCTCCTCCTCCATTCCCTTGCAGCACAGCCCGGCAAGCGTCACACGCTCCCTCCTGCTGTGTCGCCCACTAAGATCTGAACTGTGATGCTCTCAACCAGGGATTTTCTTCACCCAGTTCCTGTAAAACCTCCAGGGCCATTTTTCCCTCCCACCATGGCCGAGCTCCTCATCTTTCCACATGACGGATCGATCTGGAAAGTCCTGCGCGGGGCAGGAAGCCCGGGGACCGGAGGCCACCGAAAGGCAGCCCCGTGGAGACAGGTTTTTCCTGCCGTGATGTCACCTCCAATCTGCACACTCAGCCGCCCGGGCCGGGCTGGGAACCGGCACCCGCCTCCTACACACAGCGCCGGCAGCGGGAACAAAAGTTGCGTGCGGCGGAGCGGCGCGGGCCGGCACCGCTGGGAACCGGGGCACTCGCGGCCCACGCAGGCCCCGCGGGGCGCCCCGAAACCGATGCGCCTCCGATAACCGGCGAGGCACGCAGCCAGCCGGTGATTCACCCCTTCCAGCGCTGCTGCGGGCCCACCGGCAGAGGCGAGGCCGGTGGAGGCGGCGGGGGCAGCCGAGGGGGCCGCAACCAGCACCGGACGACCCCGAGGTGGGGATCGAGCAGCCGCGTAGCCCCCTCCTCGCACCGGTCCGCGGCTCCCAGCACCTCACACCCTCCCCTTCCCCGCTCCCCGGTACCTTTCCCAGCAGGCGGCCCTTGCAGTAGGAGCGGCCGGAGATGGGGTCGGTGATGATGCGGGTGGTCTCGGCGGCGCGGGGCGGGGGTACCGGGGTGTGAGCGGGCGGTGGCGGGGGGCAGACGGCGGGGAAAGGGGGAAACAGGCCGGCGGGCTCCATGGCTGAGGCTGCTCCACCGCCAGCACCGGAACCCGCACACGTGGCCCCACCGCCCCGCGCTACCCCTGCTTCTGCCGCCGCCGCGGGAATCCCGCCGGTTTTATCAATGGGCGCGCTGACGTCACCCGCCGGAGCTCCGCCCCCGGGCGGCCCCGCTCGGCTCTTAAAGCGGCCGCAGCACGGAAAATGAGGAGCGGCGACCTGAGTTTTATGTGCCCATTGGGACACTTTTGCCAGCCTTGAGCCGCGGGGGTGGAACCCAGCCACGGCCCTGCTGTCTCCACTGTACAGAGTCCCCCCGTACACCCAGAGCACCTCAGTGGATGCGTGCCTCTCCTAGATACAGAGACCCCCACAGACAATCAGCCCCTCCTTGACACAGGGATCCCCTACAGACACACCAAGACCCCTCCTCAGCTCCCTCCCCTCTCTCCCAGGACACGCAGAGTCCCCTCCGCACACACCTCTGTAAATACACACTCACAGGACATCTCCCCTCACAGGGATGGTCAGCCTGTGTCACACAAACCCCTGCGGACCCCACAGTTACACCCCCCAGGAAGGCAAAATCCAGGGTAGGATGCAAAGCCCAATGCGTTCGCTGTGGGCCCAGCCCCTCACCCCAACAAACCTGGATGCAGGCAGAACCTTTCACTCTGTGCCAGGGGCTGAGGAGAGGGGTCACAGTCCACCCCAGGTGGGGTGCTGGGGACACAGGGGACAGTGGAAGGTGCAGGTGAGCTCCCAGCCAGGCTATCCCATGGTCAGGTGGCCCTTGGCCACACTTTGCCCTGGCTCTAGCCCAGCTCCAGCAGCCCTCAAAGAACCCTGAAGGATCGGTTCCCCATAGCTGCCAGTCCAAGACTGGGAACCTGCAGGACTGTTCCAGTAGGGACTTCCATCCTGGCTCCTCAGTGCCTGGGCGCTGAGTCCTGGTGGCTCTGGTGTTGAGGGGTGGCCTGGCTGGGCTGGCCAAGGTAATGATGGTTCCTGGGCAGTGTGCCATAGCGGTGCTGCTCTCTCATGGCCATAAGCAGGACAAGCCTGTGTCACCTGAAACAGGTCATGGCAGGATGCGGATCATCTCTCCCCAAGGTGGCTGCAAACCCACAGCCCCCCATGAGCCTGGAGCAGCAGCATTGCAAAAGCCCTTCAAAAGCAGATCCCGCTGCTCATACTCCCACACGGTGACTGTGAGCAAATCCCTTGCTCCGTGCCTCAGTTTCCCCCAGCGCAGCTCAAGGCTCTTGTCACTGATGCTCAAAGTGCTCCTGAATATGCAGAGAGTTTTGCATGAACACCCATGGCCAAACAGCCCCGTTCTCCACAGCACATCCCACTATAGCACACAGGAATGAGCCCCCTATTTTGTGCTGCAGAAAAGCTGAGCAAACCTGCAAGACACAGCGGAAACAACCCAGATCTGTCTGCTTTTCTCCTCGGGTTTCCAGCTCTTGCAGGGGAAGCACCTGCAAACCCACCACCCGGCAGCGAACACGGCTCGGGCGGGGGCTGCTGCTCCCTGGGGAAAGCTGCCTGTTTCCACCAGGGACCCAGGGCTCCCGGAGCACAGGCAGCGTCATGGGGCAGCGTTGGCTTTCCGATGGAGGAGCAAACTGGGCGGAGCTGAGTCAGGAGCACAGTCTGGAAGCAGCCCATGGATGGAGAGACCGGGGGACCTGCCCCGGGCCTGCCCCCGGACCCCTGCAGAGGCACAGAGGGGATCAGCGAGGGCTGAGAGCTGCCGGCTCCGCTCCTGCTCTGCCTGCCTCCAGGAGAGAACTTAGGCTGGGTTTGGGGCATGGACGGACCCCGCAGCCTGAGTCCCACCAAGGCATCACCTCTCCAGGAAAGATGGAGCCCGGGAGCAGCCCCCATCCACCTGCAGCTGGGGTCTGTGGAGATGCAGAGCATGGAAAATGGGGTTTTCCCCTTACGGCGCTGGAGCAGCGGGAGGGAGTGTGGTTTGACATCAACAACCTGCCCAGCCTGGGCAAGGGAAGGCTGCCTGCTGCTATTTAAATGGAATTGCAGGAAAAGAGACCCAGGGTCTTTAGGAAGCGTACAGTGAAAGCAGGACAGGCACCTGATGCAAGTCGCGCCAAGGGAAATCCCATCTAGATACCAGGAAACTTCTTTCCCCCCTGTGAGAATGGTAAAATGTAACAGGAGCCCAGAGAATCTGTGGCATCTCTGTCCTCCACTATACTCAGACCTGGCCTGGTCTCAGTGTCCCCCCACCCTCACAGTATTCAGGGATGCTGAGCAGCATCAGGAGCAGTGGTGCTGAACCCAGCTGCCAAGTTGGCTCGGTTGCAGGGATGCTTCTCAGGGCGGCTGCATGGCATTGCTATGGGCTGTACATACAGTGCCCAGGCAACGCAATGGGGTGTGGGTGAGCTCCCTGGCATTGGGGTGACAGCCCTGACCCCCTCAGGAGTGGGATTTCCCCCTCACCCGGTGAGCTCCTGCAAAGGATGGGGCTGCAGCCACCAAGGAAGAGGAGGAGGAGGAGGGAAAGGGTGGATGGTCCCTCTGGTGACTGGGGAAGGAAGCACCAGCTGCAACTCCAGCAGAGCAAACCTGCCCCAGGGGCTGGCTGAGGATATGCAGGGGGGAAGCTGCAAATCTGGGTAAAGCTGCCTGGAGGGAGAAATGAGAGGACCCGGATCCCTCAGGATTAAGGAAGCGCTTGGATCTGGGGTGGTATGTAAAATGCCAGTGCTGGGAGGTACCCCTTGGGAGGCAGGATCCAGCCCAGGGAGGTTCAGGAAGCTCTCTGAAATCCTCTGCAACGGGGCCCTTGGCTCAGCTCCTGCCCCAGAGCACGGGGAGCAGGGGAGGCTTTGCCCCAAGCAGGGTGTCAGCAGGCTCCAGCCCGTGGGTGACAGCCAAGGGCAATGTAACCGTGTCCAAGGCACCACGGAGGCAATTCTTGTTCCCCCCCAGGCCAGTTGCTGCAGGTACCTCCCTTTCCTCATGGGCCTGAAACGGCGATTTCCTGCGTCCCACCCCAGCAGCCTGCCGGGATGCAGCCAGTCCTGCTTCCCTCCCTGCTCCCTCCCACCCCATCCCTCCTCCCAGCAGAAATCCCTGACACAGGATTCGTTGCTGCAGCATTTGCTGCACAGCATGAGGTGCTGGCACCCCAAACCTCACTCACAAGACAACGCCCACAGCAGGACAGGTCAGGTCCAGCTGCCAGAAATCACCCTGCTGTGGGATTTGTGGGTCTGGGACAGACAAACAGGATGATGGGTCTGTGCGCAGGCCAGGTCCCATTTCACCCATCTCTCAAATACTGAAGCAAAGCGCTGTTGGTGCCACACCATGTGTCTCAGTTTACCTAGTTCACACTGTGGTGAGCACACAGGCATTTTCAGGGTGTGCAAAACCAGCTCCCCTCTCCAGCACTGCTTCTCCTGTGGGCTGAGGTCTCGTATCTGATTCCACTTCTCCTTTATGGCTTGGGACTTACATGAGATGGAAGGAAGTCATAAGGGGTCCAGTGATGGAAAGAGGAGTTGGCTCTTTGCCCCCATCCTGCAAGCGTATCCACTCTGTATCCTCTCCCCAGTGGGGCTGGGAGTCACACTGTGTACAGAGATGGGGACCAGCCAGGCAGAGCCCTCTCCCCATCCCAAGATGGGGGCAACTCAGCAGACCCCAACCTGTCCCCTCTCCAGGATCCTGGGGGGTTGATGCTGGAGTATGGGGGGGGGGGTCTAGAGAGACATACAGGTGTGGGTGGGCCAGAGCCGGCTGGAGACTGGGGAAAGCTGGGAAGGGACATTGCTTCGGGGGGATGGAGAGGAGAGGGTTGGGGAAGGAACGGGGTGCTGTGGTTTATGGAGGGAGGCAGAAGAAGCGGGGGCACCAGGCATATTGGCTGTAGGGGACATATTGTAGGAATATTTTGGGGGGGGTTGTCCATCGCGGTTGGAGGGTCCATGGCTGGTGGGTGCCTGGGGCACAGGGAGCCCATGGCCCGCGGGGGAGAGCAGCGGGCCCGGTCCGGGGCGGGCTGCGGCGGGGCCGCCCCGAGGCGAGGCGGAGCCGACGGCCGCGCCCGGCGGGGAGCGCGGCGGGGACGGAGCGGCCCCGGAGGATGGGGCGTGCGGAGGCAGGTGAGACCGGGCCGGGCTCCCCGGGCCGGGGGGTTGGGGGGGGGAGAGCGCAGCCCCGGGGGTCGCTCGCTGCCCCCTGGGAGCTGCCGGACGTCGGGTGTGAGACAGCCCAGGGCTGGGAGGGAGCGGCGGCGGGGATCCGGGTGCCTTCCATGGGATGCGGCGGTGGGGGGAAGCGTGTTCAATCCGCTGTGGGCTGGAGCTGCGGGAGCGGGAGAGCCGGTCCCGCAGCGCGGTCACCCGTCCGTCCACTCTGCTGTCCCCGCAGGTGCTGGGCTGGGGACCGTGTCGCTGTGGGGCAGCCTCCTGCTCGCTGCCGGCCTTACCCTCGACCCAGCACCGCAAAGCTGCAACTGCACGGAGCCCATGGACTTCCAGGTGTTCCGGGAAGCTCCGCTCACCGAGAGCTGCTGCCTCAACTTCACCAGCTCCAACATCACCCGCCTGGACTGGGGAGCACTGGTAGGGGTGCGGGGGCTGCGGGAGCTCTACCTCTCGCACTGCAGCATCACGGACATCAGCAATGCACAAGGAGTCCCCCCTGCCTTGGAGATCTTGCACTTAAGTCACAACCTGCTGGAAAGACTCCCTGGAAGCTTTCTGGAAGATGCCCCTAATTTGAGGGTCCTTTATCTGGACAGCAACCAGCTCCAGGAGCTGCCCAGGTTCTTCCTGAGAGCATCCAACCAGGTCCAGGAAGTCTACCTGGGCTTCAATGCCCTGACTTTCCTTCCCACCAGCCTCCTGAAGCCGTCTCTGCTTCATCTCCAGCTCTCCAACAATAGCTGGGACTGCAGCTGCGCTTTGCTCAGCACCCTGGAGGACTGGCCCAGCCTGGCCGCTGAGGTTATCTGCCACACACCGGAGCGCTACCACGGTGTGGACCTCCAGAGCATCCCCCGGGATGAGCTGTGCCATTCCATCAGCCTCACCGCCCTCTTCATCTGCCTA